TTGCCTCCTCCTCCTCCTCCTCCCCTTTTTCCCCCCCTCCTCCACCTCGCCTTCTCCGCGCGCCTCCGCGAGGCGAGCATCGGCTCGCTCGGCCACGGCTCGCCGCCCAGGGCCACGGCGTGACCGCCGCCGCGGCGCGCCGCCGAACGCGCGCTGGCGGCCGCCCGCCGCGCACCACCGCCGCGGGCGCGCGCGGCTCGCCGCGGGCGCGCGCGCGGCCCAGACCTCCTCGAGCAACGAAAAAATTCGAGCAACGAAAAAAAGTCTGCTCGAGCCTCGAGCAGACCCCCTCGGCGGTTGTTCTAATTTTCGGCCTCCGGGGGCCCCGGCTGGGCCTCGGGAGCGTCAAAGAACGACTCGGGATGCAAAGCCGGTCAGGGGGAAAGGGTCGGGACCTCTGGGGGTCGAGGTCATGAAAAAGTCATTGCGTCGGGGGTCTGGGGGGGGGAGGGGCACCCGGCGCGGGGCGGCGGGGCCGCCGCGCGCGCGGAGGGGCGCCGCCGAGGGACGGAAGGTCAGCATCAGGGCGTTATCGTCAGAGCGGAGTGCCAGGAAGGCCTCCCAGAAGCTTTTGGAAGGAGCTCTGAGAGCTCTTGAAAGGAGCTCCCGAAGGAGCTTCTGGAGAGCTTCACGCCACGCGTATTGGGAAACGCTTAGGAAAGGCTCCTCGGGACACGCTGCAGCTTCACAGCAACCGCTGCGGCGTTGGAAAACGGAAGCTGGAACGAGGTCCGGCGCTACCTTGCGCTGCTGACTTCTATTCTGAAGCCCGTCGAGTTCTCAGAGAGCTATCCGGGAATGAATCAATCAATAATTCAATACATCAATCAATGATGCCGTGTTTGCACGGCACATCGTCGAAAGAAGTTCCATTGGCTGGAGGCGCAAGTCTGGACCGGGGCACAACAAGCAGGGATAGCTAATTAAGGAGACAGCCTACATCCTGGCGGGTGCTTTCATCGTCCAGCAGACTGATTGTTTTCACTTGATCGGGGGAGGACGGGACTGGGACGAGGATAAACCCGTTCCAGAGCGTGCCGGAACGCTCTCAGGGCGTTCAGGGGCGCTCTGAGAAGGCCGCGGCGCCCGAGATATCCTCCAGAGCCGCCGGATTTCCTCACCCAACATTCTTGGCATCGCTCGGACGTGTGTAATGTTTTTCGGCGGGGGCCGTCGAGGAGCATCCTGGATCAGCCTGCGAAACAAGCACGCGCGAAATCGAGAAAAAAACACACGGGATGGACGTCCGAACGATGGCGAGTTCTGTCCGCGCCCGGCTTCGGGATGGCCTCGCGGCGGGCAGCGGAGCTCCTGGGAGGGCGGCGGGGCTCCACGGCAGAAGCCCTCGCAAGACTTCCGCGAAGCCCCCCACCTGCGCCTCCGGGGAAGGCCCAGGACGCCGGAGAAGTTAAATCCATAACGAAAGGGAGTGGAGGAGGAAAACGAGGAGGAGGAGGAATTGAAGGAGGAGGCGGAGGAGGCGGAGGGCGAAGGCGGAGGCGGAGGAGGCGGAGGGCGAAGGAGGAGGAGGAGGAGGAGGAGGAGGAGGAGGAGGAGGAGGAGGAGGGCGTCGCCTGCGGGATGGCTGCGGCGGGCGAGAGCCGGGCGCGGCCCCGCGGGCGCGGGCGGGGCGGGGTGAGGTCCTTCCAGGCGCGGGCGCCGGCGCCCCGACCTGGGCCGGCGCAGCGGCCGGGAAGGCCAGGCCCGAGGACGACGGCGACGACGGCGACGACGACGACGGCGACGACGACGACGGCGACGATGACGACGGCGACGACGGCGGGCCGTCCGAGGCCGCCGAAGTCCGCCGAGGGGCCGCCGAGGGGCCTCCGAAGTCCGCCGAGGGGCCGCCGAGGGGCCGCAGAAGGCCGCCGAGGGGCCGCCTCGTCGGCCGCGCTCGGAGGTCGGTGGTTCAAGGGGGGTGTCCTGAGGGATGGGATCCCGAGGACAGGAAGGGATCGCCCCGACGATGGCTCGGGGGTCAATGGTTCGAAGATGGGGTGCTGGGCGCCCCGATCTGGGCCGGCGCCGCGGCCTGGGGGGCCAGGCCCGGACGAGGGCTCGGAGGTCGATGGTTCAAGGATGGGGTCCTGAGGCATGGGGTCCCAAGGACAGGAAGAGATTGTCCCGACGAGGGCTCGGGGGTCCTGAGACATGGGGCCCCAAGGATAGGAAGGGATCGGCCCGACGCGGGCTCGGAGGTCGGTGGTTCAATCGTCTAAACGTAAGAGAGACCCTTCGCTGGAGTGACCTCTGGTGCGGGCACAGTGGGGTCCCCCGATCGACGAATGCGATGCGATCGTAGCGTCTTGCGCGCCTGTGTTTGGTCACCCCGCGGCCCCCGAAGAGAGCGCACCAAAGATCACTCTTACCCAGGATCACTCCTGTGTGCAGCCGACTCAAAGAGAGGGTCCTGAAGGATGTGGTCCTCAGGATGGGAAGGGATTCAGGGGTAGACTTAGTAGACTTACGCTGTTTGTGTCAGCTCACCCTTGGGACCCACTCCCTCACGACACCATCCTTGAACGACTGAGGAGGGCCCTGGTCCGTCCACCGCGGCTCGGCCCAGTCGGCAGGCGTTGTACATCAGCCACTCGCAGAGGGGGGGGCTTCTTAGAAGCACCCATGTTTCTTAGAAGGCGTGGGCCTCATCTATATAGATGTAAAGGCGGCGCCTTCTAAGAAGCAGCCTCCTGCTAAGAAGCCCTCCCCCCTCCCTCCACCCCCTTGTGCGCGCCGCCAAGTCCAGGCTGCTCGGGGCTCGGTCACATCGTTGGGCCTGGGGCCGGCCGGCTCGGGCCGGTGCGCGGGGCCGTGCCGAAGCGTCGCCCTCGCGCGTTGGAGAGTTCGCTTGCGGAGCAGGAGGAGGAGGAGCAGGAGGAGGAGGAGGAGGAGGAGGAGGAGGGAGAGGATGGAGGAGGAGGAGGAGGCGGAGGAGGAGGAGGAGGGGAAGAGGATGGAGAGGACGGAGGAGGAGATACACGAGGGAGGAGGAGGAGGAGGAGGAGGAGGAGGGAGGACGAGCAGGCAGGAGGAGGAGGAGGGAGGACGGAGGAGGACGGAGGAGGAGGAGGACGGAGGAGGACGGAGGAGGACGGAGGAGGAGGAGGAGGAGGAGGAGGAGGAAGAGGAGGAGGAGGAGGAGGAGGAGGAGGAGGGAGGAGGAGGAGGAGGGAGGAGGGAGCAAGCAGGAAAGAGAGCAGGAGGAAGGAGGACGAGGATGGAGGAGGAGGAGAAGGAGGAGGAGGAGGAGGAGGAGGAGGAGGAGGAGATGAGGGGGTCGTCGAGAACGGCGGAGGGGAGATAACGGGGGCTCGAGCTCATTGTTGGGCTTCCTGGGCGAGCGGGGCTCGATCGGATCGTTTGGCCTCGGGCCCTACGGTCGACTGGGGCCTGCGGTCGGCGAGAGCATTGCGCGCACCGAGGTGTGACGCATCGGGCCGGTTGGGTGAGGCTATGGGTCGGGCCGTGGGCCAGCATGGATCAGGGGTGTGCCCCCCTTGCGAGGAGCGCCTCCGCAGCGGAGCCGTCGCTTCGCGGGGCGGAGAGGCGGGGGGGCAAGCTCCTGGAAGGGGCACAAAGTGAGCAGCTGAAGGGCATGACAGAGAGACGGGGGGGAAGAAGGAGCAACCGTGGGGAAGCACGTGATCACGGAGCGGCGGGGCAGAGACAGGAGAGGAGCGTGAAGTCATGGGGAGAGCAGCGGGGGCCAGAGCGAGAGAGCAGGGCGGACAGCGAGCGGGGTGGAGGAGAATCACCGCGGGTGGTGTGCAACGATGAGCCTTGAGATCCGAAATTTCTTCTAAGACGGACAACGTCGCGAACAATCACGGCCAGAGTCATGGACCCCGTGTTTCTGCAGCATTTTTCGAGCTGGATCGATGTGTGGAGGTCCCCAGCCCCGAAACACAATAAAATCGCCAGGCGTGAAAAAAGATGCCACGCCAGGATCTCAAGGAGCAGCGCCCGCCCTCGCTACCTGTCGGCCCATCGCGGTGCTCTCCCCTGCGGGCCCTCCCGCGCATCTGGCCAACCAGGGGGGGCCGCCGGCCACTTGGCAGCGGCCGTGCTCCGTGTGACGGGTGACTGGCGGCGGCCGCCGTGGCGGCCCGCGCGCGCATGCGATGCGCGCCAATGTAGCGGCCCTGCTGGCGCTGGCGCTGCCGGAGATAGGGCGAGAGGGGGGTCAAGCAGTGGCGAAGCGTCCTGGCTCACCTACAGGCCTACCAAACCATGTTCTAAGAACTGTTTGTGGTTTCCGCGCGGTGTTCTCAGAACATCTCTGGCTGAGACGGTCTTGTTTGAAGACATCGGGCTTCTGTTCTAAGAACAGTGCTTTGTTTGTTCTTGGAGCATTTTTCGGTTCTAGAACATTTCGTGATAGGTTCCTGCTCAAGGGGGGGGCAGCCACGTTTTGATTCAGCGGCGCCAAGGTGCAAGGGGCGGTCACGCACCGGTCGGGCGACAGGCGGGGCGCTCCGGAACAGAGATGGGCACGACGGAAGCGGAAGTGGCGAGCGAAGCGAGGAGGAGACAAAGCAGTTCAGCAAGACCGTTCGCCGAAGTGGCGAGCGAAGCGAGGAGGAGCGAAAGAGTGACCGTTCGCCGGAGTGATTTCCGGTGCGGGCCCACAGGGGTCCGGCCACAACTGGCCAGCGCGCTTGGATTTGGCACCCCTGGCGGCCCCACTCTTGCGTAGGGTCGCTCTTGCATGTAGCGCAGGTCCTGCTGAGGTGCAGTCGGTGAAGGGCCAGTCGAGACATCGGCGGCCCCTCCTTGGAATAAGCTTGTTCGTCGTGGGCCTCCTGGGGGCCCCTTCGTCGCCGCAGCTGGATCCGCCTCGAAAAGTGCAGCCCAGGATGGACCCTGGGAGGGGTCCAGGTCCAGGGACCAGCTTTGACCAGCCTTGAACAGACTCGGGCGGTGCGCGAGAGCCGCCGGTGTGTGTCAAATTCAAATGGCCCTCCTCCGATGCAGGGGCGCGGCGTGCTTGCGGGGGGCCGGGGAGCGACAACTCTCGACACCCCCTCTCTGGGCCCCCCGGGGGGGAGCGCCTTCTCCCCCGAGGGCGCCACGACGCCAGTCTGGAGTTTGGGCCCGGGCGGTACTGGTGCAGGGCGGAAGTGAGTACTCGTACCGCCTCGGTCATGAGTAAAAGGAGGGGAAAAAACACAGACACCATGAATCGTCGATCCTTCAGAAAACATGGGAAAATGTGGGAAGTGGGTGGAAAGACGAACATCCAAGAAATATTGTAACATATGGGGAATCCTGTTATTCCCCACATGCTTCGTGGGGGTTATGATTTTCATCCCTGTCGCGTCGCACCCGCGTCTCCCGCACACGCACCTCCCCTCCCTCCTTCCTCCCCTCCTCCACTTCCTTTCCCACATGCTTAGTGGGGTTCTGGATCCCCACTTGTTTCGTGGGGTTTGGGTTTTCTTCCCCACATGTTTCGTGGGATTATGGTTTTCTTCTCTGCCGCGTCTCACCCGCGTTCCTTCTCCTCCTCCCTCTGCGTCTCGCGCCCACATGCCCACATGCGAATGAGACACACGCTCACATACAGCCGCACACGCATCATACACATGACACCCGCAAGCAGACACACACCATACAACACTCGCACACATCATACAACGCTAGTGCACGCCTGGCGTGTTCACTGCATCATGCACCCAAGACGCATGCACAACATGATGGGCACCAACATGAGGCACACGTCCCGATACGGCCGCACACGAATCATACACATACACCCGACATGCCATATACAAGACGTGCGTGTAGGATTCGCAGTGCATGGCAGGAGGTTCCCTGCGGGCCACGGCGCAGGGCACGGCAGGCCTGGCATGTTCTCGACGCCATGGGGGGTGCGCAGGGTGGGTCTCTCACCGCGGCAGCTATCCGTGACGGTCGTCCATGGCACAGCAGGCATGGCAGATTCTCGACGCCATAGGGGGTGCGCAGGGGGTGGTCTCTCACCGCGGCAGCTATCCGTGACGGTCGTCCATGGCACAGCAGGCATGGCATATTCTCGACACCATAAGGGGTGCGCAGGGGGTAGTCGCTCACCGCGGCCGCTATCCGTGACGGTCGTCCATGGCACAGCAGGCACGGCAGATTCTCGACACCATTGGGGTGCGCAGGGGGTGGTCTCTCACCGCGGCAGCTATCCGTGACGGTCGTCCATGGCACAGCAGGCATGGCAGATTCTCGACACCATAGGGGGTGCGCAGGGGGTGGTCTCTCGCCGCGGCAGCTATCCGTGACGGTCGTCCATGGCACAGCAGGCATGGCATATTCTCGACACCCTAGGGGGGGCCCTCATTCTCCCTCCTCCTCCTTCTCTGCTTCCTCTGCCTCCGAGCCATTTCGGCTCAAGCTGTTATGGCTTAAGACTATGGTTTCTCCTGGAAGCAATGTGTATGCCCCGGACTCTACCACAATCCTTACACCCTTTCAACACCCACGGAAAGCTGTCCAGCATCCCTGGGCCACGTTCATCGCTCCGCCAGTCTCGCGTCATTTTGCCAGCGGCATGGAGAAGAAGTATGCTCGGAACCAGGACAGGAGCGTTAGCATCAGTCGGGTTCGTCACGGCGAACAGCAGAAAAAGGAGACTGGTACGCGTGCGCGAGTTCTGCCGCCAGCTGGCCAGCGCCCAGGATGAGGAAGTCGTCCACGTACACCAACGCGTATCCCAACACCTTGCGCTCGGATTCCACCCTCAGCTCCATGACTAGCACCACGGACCACACCGAGGGGGTCCACCAGCGACTTCACGAGCGTGCTCTCGATGGCCTCGTGATGCACCCGAACAATGCCCGGGCCCGTGGATGAACCCGGGCGTGGGCATTGTTCGGTATCTCCGAGATGCATTCGCGGAGGAGGAGGAGGAGGAGGAGGACAAGGAGGAGGAGGAAGAACAGTGGGAGGAGGAGGAGGAGGAGGAGGAGGAGGAGAGGTATGAGGAGGATTGGGATGATGATGATGATGCTGCTGCTGCTGCTGATGCTGATGCTGATGTTGATGCTGATGCTGATGCTGATGCTGATGCTGATGATGATGATGATGATGATGATGATGATGATGATGATGATGATGATGAGGATGAGGATGAGGAGGAGGAGGAGGAGGAGGAGGAGGAGGAGGAGGAGGCGGAGGCGGAGGAGGACCACTGTCAACCCAAGACCCATCAACGATGTTGCAATGAACCCTCCCTCCAAACTCCCTCCTCATTGGTCCCTACAAGGACTCGTTGTCACTCAGGGCAGTGCCTCGTTGGAGCACACCTCAAAAAGCCTGAACACTGCCAGAACTTCCCTGGGACCGCAACGCCGCGAATCACCGTTCCTGTTGCGTCCCGACGATCCTGAATCGCGCCAGAACGCCACTCATTGCGAATCAGCATGACTGTTCCGCCTCGACAGCCCACGTCGCTCCAAAACGCTTGCTTCTGGCACGCCAGCCATAAGCATCCTTGAACATGCCGTCAGGTGCTGAAGGCGACGATGCGCGGCGCCAAGGCGAGAGCCACAACTTGAGAAGCAACCGCCCTCCACCCGTGACATGCTTGCAAGCTTGCAGGACTATTGCGCGCAGTGCTCAGGCGAGAGAACCGCTGTTTGCGAACGGGAGGAGCTCCTGCAGCTGCTTCAGAGGAGCGTTTGCGGCGCCAAGGCGAGAGCCACATTCTGAAAAGGAACCTCCTCCTGCTCCTCCTCCTCCTCCTCCTCCTCCTCTTCCTCCTCCTGCTCCTCCTCCTGCTCTTTCCTCCTCCTCTTCCTCCTCCTCCTGCATGCTGCCCAACAGAACCCTCAAAAACGAGTGTGCGCGGCGCTTTGGCGAGAGGCACATGTTGAAAACGGACCGCCTTCCACCCGCGAAAGTGCTGCACTTTGCCAGCATCGGAATCATCAGTGGTGAGGAAGTCTCGCGCGAAACGCCTGGCTCGCCCGACTGACACGCTTCGTGGCGCGGCAGGAAGGAATTATTGATAAGGAAAACGGATGGGGCAGGCGGAGGAGGAGGAGGAGGAGGAGGAGGAGGAGGAGGAGAGAAGAGGAGGAGGAGGAGGAGGAGGAGGAGGAGGAGGAGGAGAGAGGAGGGGAGATGGGGAGGGGGAGGAGGAAGAAGGGGAAGTGGAGGAGGAGGAGGACGAAAACCCGTGCAAAACCAAGACGAATCAAGGATATTGCAATACACCGTCCCTCCAAGCTCCCTCCCCATAGGCCCCTACACGGGTTCATTTTCATTGAGGGACGTGCTTGTGGAACACAAGAGTTTGAAAATCCGTAATCATGTCAGAACGCCGTTCCTGGAAAATCAACGCCGCGAGTCACCGTAATTGTTTCGTCTTGACGATCCGGAATCGTGTCAGAACGCTGTGCTTGGGACTCGAGCACAGCGAATCAATTGGATTGGTTCGCCTTGAAGTTCCGACATCGTGCCCAAACACCGTTTCTGGGACGTTAACCATGAGAATCCTGGAGAGTGCTGTAAACTCTTGAGACGAGCCTGCGCGACGCTAAAGCGATATACACATTCTCAAATGGATCCGCCTCCCATCCGCCAAAATGCTGCAGACTTTTAAGACGAATGCTCGCGGCGCTCAGGCGAGAGCCAGTGAACCGTCCTCCTTCAGTGAAGCTTTTGCACAGGTTGAACACACATTTGCGCGGCGTTCAGGCAAGAGCCACATTCTGAAAACGGGCCGCCAACCGTCCATAACATGCTTGCAACTGTTTAGGCGCGTGCGAAGTGGGAAGGCGAGAGCCACATTTTGAAAACGGGCCGCTCTCCATCCGTGAAATTCCTGCACGGATTTAAGACAAATGCGCGCGGCGCTGAAGCGATAATCGCATTTTGAAAACGGCCGCCCCCCATCTGTGAAGATCTTGCACATGGTTAAGTCGATTTGGCGCGGTGCTGGAGCCAGAGCTGGAGTTTGAAAACGGGCCGCCCTCCATCCATGAAGCGCTTGCACACTCTAAGCTTTAGGTTCAGAATTGGCGATGAAGACTCAGGCGGGATGCCCGGCCCGCCCGTTCGACCGGCCCCGGGGCGCGAGAGGGAGGAATTACCAGAAAGAAGAAGGATGGACGAGGAGGGGGAGGGGGAGGGGGAGGGGAGGAGGAGGAGAGGGAGGGGGAGGCGGAGGAGGGGATGAGGGGGAGGACGACGACGACAAGGGCGAGGAGGGGCAGACCCCTGCAGGAGGGCCTGCCGTGCCTGGACCTCGCGGGCCGCAACGCCACAGCCGCCGCGAGCGCCGCGGCGCAGGGCTGGGAGCAGCTGAGCTCTGCGCTGGCGGCGGGGAGGCGCCGCCCTGCTGCCCGCCGGCGAGGACGGCGACGACGACGACGACGACGGCGACGGGGCGAAGGCCACGGCCACGACCACGGCTGCGGCCACGGTGGCGGCGCTGGCGGCGGCGGCGGCGGCGGCGGCGGCGACAGCGTGCGGAGGGGGGAGGGGCGACGGCGGCGGCGGCGGCGGCAACCGCGGCGACGACGGGTGCGAAGGCGACGACGATCGACGGTGGCGGCGGCGGCTGGGGGGGAAGGCGGCCAGGGCGGGGAGGCAGAGGACGAAGGAGGCACGGAGGATGGGTGGAGCGAGGGGGAGCGGGAGGAGGAGGAGGGGGCACCAGCAGGCGGAAGGAGGAGCGGAGGAGGGGGAGGAGGAGGAGGAGGAGGGACGAGAAGGTGGGGACGCGGGAGAAACCTCGCCGGAGCAGAAGGAACAGGAGGGGGGACACGGGAGAAAATTGTTCTTATTCGAAGCACCGCAGGTCGCGCCTGACCGTTCTTCATATCCTCCTCCCTGCCCCTCCTCCTTCACATCCCCCCCCCATCGGGCATGCATTCTCTGTTTATCCCTCCGACTGCTCCCCCCCCCTCACAACCCCCAGCCCCTTTTCCCAGATATTCTTGCCTCTCCTCCTTCACATCTCCCACCATCGGGCGTCCATTCTCTGTTTGTCCCTCCGCCTTCCCCCCCCCCCTCGCCAGCCCCTCCCCCTTCCGAGGGGTCGTGCGGCGCCCTTTTGCCTCCCCGCTCGTGGGGTGGGCGGCCTGGGCGGCGCCACAGGGGCCAACAGGACGGCCCAGGAACCAGCCTGGGGATGCTCAGGAGAGCGCCAGGGTTAAGTCGGGCCTGTCCCTCTACAGGGGAAATATTCAAGAATAGAGAAATGATCTGGGGACGATTTTTGTTAGCATTGTTTTGCTATTTGGGGGTATGTTTGGGGTATTTTCATTATTTGGCCCAACATCCGCCTGTTGGGGGACAGGCCCGACCTAACGCCAGGGAAGGGCCAGGCTGAAATCGACTCGGGCGGATCCCAGAGGCGCACGGCCACGTCCTCCTGCGTTCCGGCTCGATCCCTCTCGCCACCCTTACTTAGCTTTGACCTTGAGTTCCAACCCGAAGCATACACGAACATAGCATTCTCGCCGCGAACCCGGCCGTGACCCCAAGCAATACCACGAAGCTTCATGCTCACCCGGATCCTCATACACAAACCTCTCCCAACCATAAAAAAATAACCGAAATACCTAACCCTAACACCCGACCCAAAACAAAGCAGTAAGCCGATCCCTGCCACCCTAATCTTAACAACCTATACATAACCCTACGGACTAACCCTAACATCAAAAATCCTAGCACCCGAGTCTTGACACCCGAATCCTACGCACTTAACCAAAGTGTAACACCCTTACCCTAAGCACGAACCCCGACTGCAATGCCTACACCTAAACCCTCCCCCCTGAGCGCTGACACCTTAAACCCGAACAGCCTCAGGCGGCACTGAGCAATATCCCCAATCCTAGACCCTCACACCCTAGCACCCTCACCAACCGACCCCTAATAGTTGCCTGAACACCTCGTACCGCGCGCCTGACACCAACCCGCATACCCCAAGCACTAAGCCTGACCCTGCCATTGTCACCCTAGCACCTCAACCCTGAGTACTGCCCCGAATATCAACCCGTAACTACACTACGACCTCACATCTCTGACCCTCTAGCCAGACCGTAGCCACATGTTCAAACCTTCTGCAACCTCCATACTCTTAACTTCGAACCCCGATCTCCAGAGCCCTCACACACTTCCCCCAACCAGTAACCCAAACCTAACCTCAAACCGCAACCCTGAACACTGACTCTGATTGGTTGAAGAAGCGTGGGGTGGTCGATCGCGTGGGCAGTATCATGGGGCTGCCTGACGCTGGCCGTGAGGCGATTGAATCGAGTTAGGTGGTGGGTTCGGCGCGCGTGGGGTGGGAGGCTGGAACGGGCCGTTGGACGGAGTGACATGGGTGGGGGGGGGGAGGGGGGCATTGGACATTTCGGAGAACACAAGCATCCAAACCGTAACACCTGAAAATTCAGAGCCTCTGATCAGCCTGTGACCAGAGTGAGGAGACCGAACGGTCTTGCACTGTCCCTGGGTGCGTGGCTGAAGAGGTGTCCCGCGGTGCCGATTGTTGTTGTGTTGCGTTGTTGTTGTTGTTGCCGTCGCCCCCGCGACCCATCCCGCGACCCACCCAGCCGCGACACACTCGCGACTCACCCACGATACTCCCGCGACCCACCCGCGATCGTTTTGCGACTCACGCCCGCGACCTAAAATTTCCCCCTCGGTGGGCTGGTTGAACAAAAGAGCAAGAATCGGCGCCTGTGGCGAGCTTCTTCACATTGGCCCTCGTGCTTCGCGAACCGCCGACGCCCCGCCACGCTATCCATCCACGTTGGTTTGCGGCGGGGCAACTGATTCGGGGCAATCGGCGCCTGGGGCGGGTTTCTTTATGTGCATTAGCGCCCCTTGATCGTCTTCGGCGAATGATATGGTGCGGGTCTCAGGCCCCCCGAGTGCCCCCAAGCGTCGGAGCTCGACGAACGGCGACGACGTCGACAGCGACGACGACGACGACAACGACGAATGACGACGACGTATGAACGACGACGACAAAAGAAGAGCGACGACCACGACGACGACGACGACGACGACGACGACGGGTGACGACGACCTGAGCGACGATGCCCGGCGACGTCGAGTGAAGACAAAAAATGACGATGGTGAGACGAGCGACGGCGACAATGATGAGCTCGACGACGACGAGCACGAGGATGACGACCAGCACCAATCAAAGCAGCAACAAGCGCGCGCAGTGGATCCTTGGAAAGCAGATCTTAACACATCCAAGCTCTTGCAAGCAATCTAAAAATCCACCCACACGAAGACAAACGCAACACTCACATGAATTCGCCCGAGAAGCGCGATCAACACCGGGCCGAATAACCCCCGAGCCAACTTCTGGTAAACGCGTACAAATCGCAGTACTTCGCAGAGCATGATGCCAGCAAGTGCGAGCAGCCGCCAGCGGCCCGCTGTCGCCTCTCTGGCGCCATCCCCTCGCCCCTGGAACTCCCAGGGTCCTCCTCCTGCTCCTCCTCCTCCTGCTCTTCCTCCTCCTCCCCCTGCCGTCAAGCCAGGGCATGTATTCTTAAAATTCCCTGCCGCCGCGGATAAGCGGTGCAGCCTAGGCGCCGTGTTGCACTTCCTGAATGAGGTGTACTTCGTGTGGGTTGAGGCATGTCCCTTCCCATCCCCCCCCCCTTCCCCTCCTGGGGGCGATCGCTGTCATGCCGTGAGCCAGGAGGACCCTCCGCCCCCTACCGTTCGGACCCCTGTGAAAGGGAAGGCGGCACCGCCCCCGGGTTGAAAAACCCAGGGGTGGACGCCGTGCGCACCCTAGGCCGGAGAGCGGCCTTCCCCTGTCCGCCCCCGCTTCTAACCCCTCCCGGGTCCTCGTAGCCGCGTTTGAGACCTGGTGGTTGGGCCCTTCGCCTACTCCACGTGGCACCTGCAGGTTGATGTTGGCGACAGTGGTCCGTCCGCCACCGTTGTCCGTTTTTCTCCTCCTCTTCGGGGGTGATGGAAAGGCAACGTGAGGTGCTGAGGCGTTGCATGGGAGGTTCGTTTGGTCCCAGCAGCACCTCAGTACAGGGCCCATATTCGTTCATCTCTGAGGTGCACCGCCGATGACGCTGCGGAGGCGGGGCCCATGCCATGCGGCCTTCAACCGCCGTGGTCGGAGCGCCCATCGCCGCGGGCTTAATGACAGAAACGACGCGGGGTGCAGGCTCTGTTTCTTTCGGGGCCCCAGCTTCTGGCTTGGCGGATCAGGCCCAAGGAGGCAATTTGTTTAGCCGAGGTTCGAGCCCTATGTTTCCTCGCTCGGGATAGTGCAATGCCTCGTACTTTGCTAGGTTTGCTGCGGCCATGCCTGCGTATCTGGGCCAGGCGCCAGCCAAGCACAGGCGGCAGCCTAGGTGTTTTATTGCCCTCTTGAGGGTGGACGGTCCCTAATTGCGCCTGTGGCCCACATGGTTCGCGGCCCGATCTGACGCTGTACGTCATGGCGCTGTGCGCCTGTGGTGCGTGTTGGCATTAGCTTTGGTGCTGTGCGCCCTCCCTTCGGGCCCATTCATTTATTCATTCCTACGTTCATTCCTCCTCCTCCTCCTCCTCCTCCTTCGCCTCCTCCTCGGCCGCCGTTTCGCAGCGCGGGGGGGGCTGCCGACGCGCGAGGCGAGCCCGACGCGACCCGCGTCTCACCAGCGGGCGGTTGCCAGGGCAGACAGGCCCCCGGAGGTGGGGGGGCGCGCACATGCGCGCGGCGCGCGCGGCGAATCGCAGCGAACCCCGCGGGAAGTGACATCTGGCAGGGTATTATTCCTTGCGGGGCGCGCTGAGCATATTCGCGCACATCATGCGCATCGCCAAGTGCAACCCCATGCACTCCAGTTACCACTCGCGCCTCAGAGATGCGCCCGCAGTTCTCAAGACATGGGATGTGTTTTTGCGGGGCACATCAGCGTGAGTTTTACTAGACCACTACGCCCACTGGCATCATTGCGCACGTCGCTCGGGGGGGGGGGGGGGGGGGGGGGGGGCGCATGGGCTATAAACGCGGTCGGCTTGCGACCAAGGCGCGCGGCGCGGGTTCTTTGCTGAAGGTGCGGGGGCCCGACGCAGGGCCCGCGCGCAGCGATGCAGTCACTTCTTGCCGCGCAGGGGCGAGCGCGCGGGATGCGACTACAGACGCCGAGCCATGTCATTTCAATAGTTGGCGTCTACTTCGCCCCTGCCACCGACCCCGAGCACGCTGGAATGGCGCGACATATCGCAGCTTGGTCGGGCCCCCGGCCCCGAGGGAAGATCATCTCCGACTCCGGCCTCGATCGCGACCACGACGGCGGCGCGGAGCAACATAGAAGCGCGCGCGCGGGCGCCCGCCTGCCGAACCTTGAGCGTCCGCACGGGTTGGCGCTCAGAGAGATCCGCGAGCGCAATCGGGCACTGATCGCGCCCGCCTGCGCACGGGCAAGAGAGACCTTCTTCGGACCCGCGGGGGCCCGCAACCGAATCGACCACTTGTTATGTCTACTTCAGCGCGGCCGCGGATCAATGCCTGCCCGATTTTTTAACGTTTAGAGGGGAGTCATTCACAGGTCTTGAAGGCGCGAGGACATCGAGATCCCTGACCCATGGGTTTGGATCTAGACATCAGTCTGCAGCGCTTTCGACGCCGATCCAAGATCGGGCCAACGCCCGACCGAGGCGCACCCGCGCGCCGGTTAACTAAGGGCTTCAAGAGACGAGCGCCCCCCCCCCCGGGCCCATCGGCAATAACTTGACATAGGTTGGAGAGAACATGCCCCGACAAGCCCCCGGGCCGGAGTCGCCCGATGCGCGCGGGGCGACGTTTAGCACGCGCGCGAGGAATGCCTCGATGGACTGTATATCCCCCGGCCAGCCGCCCCGCTTTGACCGCGCGCGCGAGCGCGCGAGAGCGCGCCGCGCGCGCGCAAGAGACCAGGAGGAGAACGCGGGTGAACTTGGAGGACCCGGGGGAGGAGGGGCCCATCTTGGCTTGCAAGGACTTCGAGGAGGTGACAGCAGCATATATGGAGCAGCGGCACTCGGCCACGCATGAGTTTCGCGCGCTACATCAGGGGAACGGGAGGGGGCCGAAACGACCTTTCAACTGCAGCCCACGGACGAACTAGAGCACGGCGGTTTGGGGGGGGGGCGAGTGGGAGCCATCAAGGATGGGGCCAGCAGGGGCGAAAGGGGAGCGGCGCACGCAGCTCCAACATTACCAGCGCGACTGCGAAGCGTTCGAGCTCGCGCGCGCAAGCGCAGAGTTGCTAGAGCTAACCACGAGAAAGACATGCCAGCCACGAATAGGGATTGCCGCCGCGCGGCCAAGGGGAAAAGCAATTCCCCGCGGGGGTCCCCCAGTAGACGCGGCCAGGCAACGGCTCAACCCGACAGTCAATATTGCGCCCCCGCGCGCGCGGAGCCAGCGCGGAGAGCGCAGCGCGATGGCAAGTGTGGAACGCAGAGGGGGGGCAGAGGGGGGGGGGGGGGGGCGCAGGGGCTAGAGGGGCCGGCGACGTTTTTTTTTCCCCCGCGGGGTAGACAAGCGACATCTGCAAGATGGGGTGGAATCAGGGGTAGGGACTCGGGCAGAGGAGACCAGGTGGATCGGCCCCACCGGCAGTGGGCCCGCTCGCCGAAGATCTCTGGCGCTTTTGACGGGAGGAGAGGGCTGGCTGGATTAGGGGCGGAGGAGCTGGCGAGCGCGCCCTGCGATTTCGAGGGAGCTCTCGCATCGCATCTGATCCATGTTCGGAGATGCCAAGCGACGCCCGTCGACCCCCATAGATTGCAAAGCTTTCGCGCCGACGATGCAAATGTCTATATCAACGTCGGTGGCGCGCGCGTAACGCACTGCTAAGATGCTTTCCCGATGGATCGGCATTTTGGAGTCGCTCGCAGGTCCTCCGAAATTTGGGATCCGTCTTGGGCACGCTGGATCATTCCGCGTCGGAGTCGGACCAGCAGCATCGCCATCATCATGCGTAGCAAGTGTATGTCCACGGATAACAAGCTCAGCTTGATTGTTACGACGATTGCACGAACGCGTTCGCAGCGACAGACAGCGCCATTCTCTAGACGAATGCAGCGAGGTACGCTCGCGCAGAGGATGCCCCGCATGCGGTGGCGGCTGCGCGGCAGACATTCTGGTGCGCGAGCACGGCCGATAGCTTGATCGGTAGTCGCTTGACTGCCTGGCCCCCGAAGGTTTCACGACGACACCGAGGGGCTACACCATGGCGAGCAATCAGGAGGTGTTAGCAGAATGCAGGCACGGGGAGCAGCGCTGGCGCGCGACGACGGATCCCAGGGGCCGGCCCTGTTCTCAGATACAGCGAGATGGTAGACACGTCGCTGTGCTGTTTGATGGACAACGCGATTGCGTGCGCGGTGGTGGGGGGCGGGGGGCTGGACGCTGAACCCACAGCAGACTAACCACTTGCTGCAACTGCCAGGGGTAAGACGCTACCAGGGCACCCGTCGCCCGCGTACATCAGAGGCCCTACACGGGCAAGCGCGACGAGAGATGCGAGTCCGGAGATCGCACCTTCTGGGCGAGCAGGGCACGCCGAGTGACATTGTTCACACGCGCCGCACCACACAGAGAGCAAGCGCGGCGACGACGCGGCTGCTTCTGGACCTCCCAGAGAGCTAATGTGCATTAGGTGCGTCATGTTCCAGGCGTTCATGATGGAAGCCGCCTTGGGCAGGCTCTCGACCACGTCGCCCTTGAGAAGTTCGTCGCCACCCCCGACCAGACGTTAGGGGAGTTTCTCAGATCGCCGTCGAACTGGGGCATGAGCTGGGACAGGCAGGACGGGGGCATCAGGTGCCACTCGACGCAGCGCGTCTGTCGAGCGTGGAGGAAAGTCTAGGGGCAGTCGACAGCTAACTCGCCAGGCGCATTCGGAACTATCTCCGCTGGGCCAGACTTCCCAAGGACCACCAGGCCGTGACATGCATAGAATTTGCCCGCCAGGATGGACCAAGGGAGACAACGCCTCATGCCAGAGAAACGCGGGCACGAGATGCCGCCCCCGCGATCGCAGCAATACATAAGCTTGCAGAGATGGACGAGAAGACTGCTTCATGGCACCGCGCTCGCGCCGGCGAGATCCGCGCATTCCGAGAGGGCAGGTTCGCGCGAGAGTTTGACTTCGAGGTTGGCCCGTCGATCCCCCGCGCAGCGAACCTCGCGGGAAGCGAGATCAGGCGGGGCGCGATTCCCTGCGGGGCGGCCACGAAGTCGACGGGCGGGTGCGAGGCGGAGGGGAAAGGAGGAAGAGGAGAACGAGGCGGAGGAGGCTCCGAAACAGCACTGGTGCGACCGCGAGATCCAGGACTCATGGCTCATCGTCGGGGTGCCCACGGAAGAGAGCCCCCCTCGGCAAAATCAGCACCGCGAACCAGCGCCCCCGGTGACAGAGCAGCATTGTCAACGGGAGGGGCGGGCCCTGGACCGCGGGAGACGCGCCGCCCGGCGGCGCGGCATGTGTTTCACGGGTCGGTCGAGGTGGTCCCGCGAAGCGCAGGTCCACGAAGAGTTTCACTGCGAGCTCTGTGACCACCTGGCCCAAGACCTGGCATCTTTCCAGGTTCGCGCCAGACAGCGCACCCCAGGCTCAACGAGCACGGTGGAAGCTGCATCAGCTGAAGAACGATAACTCGAGGAAGGACATGTCGCGGCGGCCGGGGCAAGCAGAGGCCGGAGGCTCGGCGGCGGCAGCAGCGGAGAGGCCAGGGGGGGGGGCGAGGAGCTCAGGGCCGCGCGCCGAGGCAAGGGGGCGCAGGGCAGCACGGGAGATGGAGATGCTGGGCAGAGAGCAGATTCTCGAAAATCCCTTGCCACCGCGCAGAGGCTCTTGCTCAGGGTAGCCCCGGGGAACGGCGACCTTCAGCGTGCGGTCCGCGACTTCTGGCTGGCCCCGGCAGGGGCCCCCGTGGAGCAGGCCGCCGACGGCGCGGGTCAGCAGCGCAACGAAGCGCGGCAACGGTCACGGCATGGGGCCCCCCATCCCCGCACATCGCGATTGCCGCGGTGGAAGAGACCATCAAAGTCTCCAACGACCAGGAGAAGAGCCAGAAGGCCAGCAAGGACGTCCCGTCGGAGCGGGCGGCCTCGGTGGACGACGACATGCACGGCGTCACGGCGCCAGGCTGATCGACGCCACTTTTTGCGTGTCGAGGGCGACATGTCGGAGATGGGGAAGGTGATGTTCGGCATCGAGATCTACGTGGACTACTTGACGGCGCTGCGCGCGAGCGGGGCGGATACTGAGCTTTGGGACAAGGCCAGGCGGTTTGCCCCGGGCATTTTCCGCGAGACCCTAAGCCACGCGCTGTTTCTTTCGAAGGGGGCGATGCCGATGGGGGCGAGGCCCAGGACACAGCTGGAGCGGGTCGTGGAGAGGCAGCGCAGGCGCGCAGCAGGGAGTGATCAGGAAGAAATGAGGAGCAGATGCGCGACCGTAGTAGCAATAGCGCATGACCCTAGACGCCGCACAACACTTGCTAGGAGGGCAGCGGCAGGGAGTGAGCAGGCGCGTGCGTTGCAGGAGCATGTGAGTAGCCAGCGCAGGGAGTTGCAAGCGAGCTTAGTTTATACCCAGGACATATCGAGCGCAGTCTCTTGAGTCCCAGACGCGCCTCATCGGGGGTAGTCTGCAAGCTCCCCCGCTTGCGAAATCCAGTGCGTTGCGTTTCTTCCGTTGCTACCGCTGCAGGAGAGGAGATCTGACCTTCATGTACCCCGCCCGCTGGCGACGAAGTACAGCGGGGCCCACCTTGCTGACGAGGCATGCACCTTCGTCCGTGCGACGCGGCGCTCGCCTCAGGCGTTGGCGGGATAATTCCCGAGGCAGCCTAGCATCCACGCAGAGCAAGGGGGCTAGCGGCAGGCGTGGAGAAGCCCGGTTGCCTTGCACTGAGCACCTACCTACCTACCTACCTACCTCTTTCTCCTCCTCCCCTTCCTCCCCCTCTTCCTCCTCCCCTGACTAGGAACTCCCCCCCGCAGCGACTTCGCATTTCCTTTTATCGGCACCCCCTCCCCAGCCGCGGTTCCCTTCCCGCTCCCCCTGACCATCCCGCCCCCCCGCCCACTCCGCCCCCACCACCCGCCCGTCTCCCTCCTCCCGTTTTCTCCCCCTCGCCCGCTGGCCCTCCTTCTTGCCCCCGTTCTCTCTCCGACGGGCCCCGCGCGCGCAGGTTCCCCGGCGCGACCGGTGACGTCCTCGCGCTGGCAGTCCCGAGGCCAGGAGGTTAGGGAGGGGTGCCCGAGCTGCGGGGGCTGAGGCAGAGAAGGCAGGGAGGAACAGGAGGGGGAAGGGGGGGGAAACGGGGGAGGAGGCCCACCCAGGCCAGACCGTGCGGTTTCGCTGTCGGGTGCCTATCGGCGATGTATCGTCAGTTCCAAGTTGATGGTTGCCCCCTTGAGCCCAGTCTCCTCCATGTCGTTTCCCGCGAACGGGTGCACTCCCCACCGCTTTCGCGGAGGAAGTTGTAGGGAGGGAGGGGAGAGGGGAGATGGAGGGCAGGATGGTGGGAGGGAGGAATATGGGGGCGGGAGGGAGGCAGGGAGCGAAGGATGAAGGGGGGAGGGAGGGAGCGAAGGATGGAGGAGGGGAGAGGAGGGAGGGATGCGGACAAGCAGGCGCAGGACGAAGAGGAGTAGGTGGAGGCCAACGAGCAGCAGAAGCAGTAGCAGCAGCTGGACGCGGGGAAGGATAGGGAACAAAAGGATAAAGCCATGTTCCTCCTCTCTGTCCTCCTCTTCCTCCTCTCCCTCCTCCGCCTCCTCCTCCTCCTCCTCTCCTCCTCCTCCTCCCTCCTCCCTCCCTCCCTCCCTCCCTCCCTCCCTCCCTCCCTCCTCCCTCCTCCTCCTCCACCTCCTCTTCTCCTCCTCCCTCCTCTCCTCCTCTCCTCCTCCTCCTCCTCCTCCTCCTCCTCCTCCTCCTCCTCCTCCTCTCCTCCTCCTCCTCCTCCTCCTCCTCCTCCTCCTCCTCCTCCTCCTCCTCCTCCTCCTCCTCCTCCTCCTCCTCCTCCTCCTCCTCCTCCTCCTCCTCCCTCCTCCTCCTTCCTCCTCCTCCTCCCTCTCCTCCACCTCCTCCCACCGGCGCTCCCTCGCACATGCCGACCACGACGACGAAGAACGCGGGGGTGCGCCAGGGCGACGTGCAGCTGCCAGTTGGACCGCTGGGACCAGTATGCTGTGTGCAAGGGCGCGTACGAGCGGGGTGCCCAGGCGTTGTCGTTCGGCATAAAAGGCTACGACGAGTGGGCGAGGCGAGGTCCTGCTCCGCCTTGGTCCTCGTCCCTCCTCCCTCCTCCTCCTCCTCCTCCTCATCCTCCTCCTCCTCCTCCTCCTCCTCCTCCTCCTCCTCTCCTCCCTCCTCCTCCTCCTCCTCCTCCTCCTCATCCTCCTCCTCCTCCTCCTCTCTCCTCCTCCTTCCCTCCTACTCTCCTCCCTCCTCCCCCCCCTCCTCCTCCTCCTCCTCCTCCTCTCCTCCCTCCTCCTCCTCCTCCTCCTCCTTTTCCTCCTCCTCCTCTCAGAGGGGGCCGGCCAAGGTATCGGCGGTCCTCCCTGGCGTTCCTCGTCCTTTTGGGGCCTCCTGGAGGCTTCCCGTCGCCACGGCTTGATCCTTCTCGAAAAATCGACCCTTTGAAGGGGTCTGGGGACCGAGTTTCAGCGGATCTGGGCCTGCCGGGAGAGCCGCCGCCGTTGTCTCAACTGGCCATGTCCTCCTCCTCCTCTTCTCCTCCTCCTCCTCCTCCTCCTCCTCCTCCTCCTCCTCCTCTCCTCTTCCTCCTCCTCCTCCTCCTCCTCCTCTCCTCCTCCTCCTCCTCCTCCTCCTCCTCCTTCCCCTCATTATCATCATCAATCATCCTCATTATCCCTCTCCTCCTCCTCCTTTTCCTCCTCCTTCTCCTCCTCCTCCTCCTCCTCCTCCTCCTCCTCCTCCATGTATTCCTTTCCTTGTGGATGCAGATCTCGGGAAGCAGGGGCAGCGTTGCGTGTGCTGTCGAAGATAGCGTGCCAGCAGTGATCGTCAGAGAGGCCCTCCTCCTCATCTGCGTGTCCGGCCGGCCAGCCAGCTGGAGTTGGCTGTCTCGTTGTTTGCCCTGGTATGTGCTCCCTGTGTCGTCTCGCGTCTCCTGTCCTGTCTCGCCCGCCCGCGTGCCTGTCTTTGCCTGTCTGTCCGCGCGTGTCCACCTGGGTTTCTCGAAGGCCTCCTGCCTCCTGTCTGGCTTGTCTCAGGAATTGGGCCGGGCGAAAGGGGGGGATTGGGAAAGGGGGGGGTACAAAATTTACTGCATGCAGCTGGTTTCGGCCTCACTGAGGGGCCCATTCCTCGATACATAGCCGCCTCCGGCGCCGGGAGGCGCCGGGAATGAGCTACGTGAGCTGATTTTCACCTCCCCCCTTTGCTATCCCCCCTTTCGCCCGACCTGACAGAAGCCATGCGAAGGCTTGCAAACCCGTGGCTCTGAAAACGGAGTTCCGGGAAATCGTTGCTTTCTTTTTCCGGGAAACAGCCCGTTTACTATTCAGTGCGCTGAGTTTTATTCCGGGGGCTTGTTTTTTTGTCTCCGGGAAAGCCGTTTTAGCAGCCACGGATTTGCCCGCGCCCAGCTTCCGATTGTCGCACCGGGACATCCCCACAGGCCAGGCAGCCGCCGCTCCTGACAGCCCGCTTGTCTCGAGCAGGGGCGCGCAGGTAGCCCGTCTTGGCGCTTCGCGAACCGGGCTGGAGGGTTGCGTCCCGGGCGGCGCGATAGCGCGAATGTATGTCGCGTTTCGCTCTCGGCGCGGCGCACAGCGCGAGCTCACGAGCCCGAGATGCCCCGTGCCAGGCACGTCCAACACGAGCACGCGAGGCTCGTGCCGAAGCTGTACGACTGCTACGACACGAGGAAGCCCGCCGGGTTTGACAACGAGTTTTTCCCGACCTGCGTTGGCGGCAAGGTGGCTCGCCGTCCTTGACCGTCCTTGCGCGCGTCGTCCCGGATCGGCGTCCCAAGAGCATCAGGAGGAGGAAAGGGGCGGCGGACAACGACGACGAGGAAAACGAGGAGGACAAGGAAGAAGGATGTAAATAATTATGAGAGGTGAGAGGGGGAGGGGAAGAGGAATAGGAATAGGGAGGGTCAGCGGGGAGGTTGGCGGAGGGGGCACGGGGAGGGGGGAGAGCGGGTGCCACGGAGGAAAGAGCTCGAAGGAATGGCGTGAGAAGACCGAATGCAAAGGTTGAAGACTTGGGTCGCCTCGCCTCCTCCACCTCCACCTCCTCCTTCTCCACCTCCTCCCTCATCATCATCATCATCATCATCATCATCATCATCATCATCATCATCATCATCATCATCATCATCATCAGCATCAGCATCAGCATCAGCATCATCAGCATCAGCATCAGCATCAGCATCAGCACCAGCATCATCATCAGCATCAGCATCAGCATCAGCATCATCAGCAGCATCAGCATGGTCATTATCATCATCACACTCATCATCATCAGCATCAATCCCTTGTTGACATTGGCCATTCATAAGCATCTTGGTCGCCGCGTTCTTTCAGTGTAGTGAGGCGTCCACATCAGGAAAACGCTGACCCCGACAAGTAATAACAAATTAAGGCTTCTGCGAGTGCTGATGTAAGAGATGCAAAACTATTTTGTGAAAGATAGAGGAGCCCATGTGGGCGCGGAGTAGCTAAGCAGGGAGCCGTTGCCTCCTCCTCCTCCCCCATCCCTTCTCCTTCTCAACAGTCGCATCCCCCCAGACGTCCCGGTGGGGCTGGCCGGGCGCTTCGCTCGAGAGTTCCTCGCTGGCTATGACTCGGAGGTTGCCAGAAGGGTTCGTTGGACACGGTTGGCTTCGCCGGACCCGAGGTCCTCTAAGCCCGACCTTAGGCTTAAGTCGGGCCTGTCCCTCTACAGGAGGAATATTCAAAAATAGTCAAAAAATAGTCTGAGGATTTGTTTTTACTATGTTTGAGCTTTTTTGGAGTAGTTTTGGTGTATTTTCATGTTTTCGCGCAAAATCCTACTGTAGAGGGGGGGCACGCCCGACTGAACCTCAGGCACGCCAGCACGACCACCAGGCGCACCAGCAGCCGTCGAAGTCGCCCTTCTTGAACCAGACCTGCTCGCCGTCCTCGGATGGCTCTCAAGCCTGGGAACTGCAGCGGCTTCACGGACGGACGGCGGGTCGCTTTCAAAGCTGGGCTCTCGCCTCAGCGCCGCGCACATCTGTCTTTGTACACTCCAGGCGATGCTTAAGAAAACCCCAGTTTTCGGCCAGAATCTCGATTATTCTTAATGTTTCAATGTAAATCCTAAGATGTTAATAGAACTGCTGGGTTTTTGTATTCAAGTTCTGAGACTATGAATTTCTTAACCCATGATTTCTTAAGCATTACGCAGGGTGTAGTTGGAAGCAGCCTCGCGGATAGAGGCCGGCCCGTTTTGAACATGTGGGTCTCTGTTTGGCGCTGCGCACATGCGTCTTAGCAGCGTGAAGCAGGTTCACGGACATAGGGCGAGTCGTTTGTGAAATGTTGTCGTCGTTGCAGTGCCGCGCACATTTGTTTTGACAGTGCGCAGTAGCTTCACGGATGGAAGGTGGGCCGCTTCCACAACGTGTTTTTTTTCCGCAGCGGCGCGCACAGACGTTTTTCAAAGATTGCAGCGGATTCAAGGATGGAGGATGGCTTTTTTTCAAGAAAGATGTGGTTTTCGCGTCAGCGCCGCGCACATTCGCTTTTGGTTCACATAAGTTTCGGTCTTCTTGCGGTTGAATTCCCAGGAGTGGTGGTCTGCCAAAAGTTGGGATTGTTCGGGCGCAACAGTCACATTGATCCGTGGCGTTAAAATCCCAGGGACGTTGTGCTAGCGCGATTGATGATTCTCAGCCGGATGTTTTCCAGTAGGATTCTTCGCCCAATGAATTGAATTGTTGGCAGGGGCCGATGCAGAGGACATTTGGATGGAGGGTTCATTGCAGCATCGTTGATGCGTCTTGGGTTTGCACTGGTCGTCCTCCTCCTGCTCCTCCTCCTCCTCCCCCTCCTCCTCTACGACTCAATGGCGGCTTTGGCATGCATGCGCCTGGACTTCCCCAGTAGGGTCCTGGCGCTGAAGCTACAGGTGCTCAGCTTCGAGCTTCGAGGAGGGAAGAGAGAAGGACGCGCAGGATCGGTCTGGAGCAGCAGCAGGTGGGCGGAAGAGCAGCCGCTGCAGCAGCAGAAGGAGGCGCAGGGAGGAGGAGGAGCACGACGAGGAGGAGGAGGAGGCGGAGGCGGAGGTGGAGGCAGAGGTGGCAGGGCAGACGCAGCAGGAAACAAAGCGGAGGAGGCGGAGGAGAGGAGGAGGAGGAGCAGGAGGAGGAGGAGAAGGAGGAGGAGGGGTGGGGGAAAGGAGGAGGCGGAGGGGAGAGGAGGGGAGGAGGAGGAGGAGGAGGAGAGGAGGAGGAGGAGGAGGAGGAGGCGGCCTAAACAAGGTTTAGGCGCGCGCAGCGTCGAGGGCCCACCCCGCTGCGCCCCAGCGCCCCCTCGAGGCCGGGCAGAGGGGCGGCCGCGCCTTCGAGACCTTGCGGCGGCTGCTCCCCGCCGGGGCCAACCAGTCGGCCCGCCACCGGCCCAGACGGCGACCGGCGGCGAGGCCGACGTCGACGACGGCGAGGGGGGACGGAGGGCGGAGGAGGAGGGGGACGAGAAGGGAGAGGGAGGAGGGATAGGAGGAGGAGTCGGAGGAGGATGGGGAGGAGGAGGAGGAAGAGGAGGAGGAGGAGGAGGAGGAGGACCCATCAACGATGTTGCAAGAAACCCTTCCTCCAAGCTCCCTCTGCGCAGGCACCTACAGGGGTTAATTTTCACGGAGGGAAGTGCCCCATTGGAAGACAGCCGTTTGAAAATCTTGAGCCGTGCCAGAGCACAACGCCTGCGATTTCAACGCCACGTCTGAACATTATTGTTGCGTCTTGAAGATCCTGAATCGCGCCAGAACGCCCTTCCTGGGACTGCAGCACCGCGAATCAACGTAATGGAACGCCCTGACAGTCCCACATCGCTCTAAAACGCATTTCTGTGGTACGTTAATTTTGAGGTTCCTGAAGTTCATGCACACCCTTAAGACGAATGCGCGCGGCGCTGAGACGAGAGCCGCATGTTGAAAAGGTACCGCCCTCCACGCATGAAAATCCTGCAATTGTTCTACAAGAGTGTGCGCGGCGCTCAGGCGAGAGCTTCGTTTCGAATCGAAAACGGACCGCCCTCCACCCGCAAAGTCCTTGCAATTGTCTAAGGCGTAAGACGGATGTGCCTGGCGCTAAGGCGAGAACCACATTTTGCAAACGGCCCGCCCTCTCTCCGCAGAGCTCGTGCAACTGTTTACGACGAAGGTGCGCGGCGCTGATGCGAGAGCCTCGTTTTGAAAGCGACCCGCCCGCCCTCCCCGAAACCCTTGCAGATTTCAAGCTTGATGATCCCAAGTGCTGAGGGAGTCTCAGGCGACATGCCCAGCCCTACGGACACGCTTCGGGGCGCGAAAGGGGAGGAGCTACTTGTAAGGAAAAGGAATGGAGGGAGGGAGGGAGGGAGGGGGAGTAGGAGGAGCAGGAGATGGAGGAGGAGGGAGGGGTGGGGGAAGAGGAGGAAGAGGAGGAGGAGAAGGAGGAGGAGGGACGGGGACGAAGACGGGAGGGAGGAGGAGGACGAAAAGGAGGAGGAGGGGGAGGGAGGGGATGACATCTTGTGTCGGACATCTTGATGTCGGGGGCCCGCTGGGATGGCGGTATGACCGCCCCGTGACGGACATCACCGCCCCGTCGGGCTTACGGACCACCGCCACCAGGGAGTCGCGCGTGGGCGCGCTGTCTGGGCCTGGGGGGCACCGAGGGAGGAGGATGACGCGGAGGAAGACGAAGAAGAAGAAGAAGAAGAAGAGGTGGCGGGAGGAGAGGAGAGATGAGGCGTGGGGGGGGGAAGAGGGAAGGGAATGAGGGCGAGGGAGAAGGAGAGGGAGGGGGGAAAAGAGGATGAGTAGGAGGAGAAGAGCAATACGTGCACGCGAGTTTAGCAGCAGCCTCCATAAGTGGGGATGTGTATTGATATGATTGCGCTTATCCTCCTTTCCCCTTGCATGCCCGCCGGGCAATCCTCATGCCTTTCCTCACCAGCTCGCTGCAGCACGCAGTGGGACGCCACAACATCAACTCCATCTACACCAACAGGGAGAGCACGTTGCTCACGCGAGCATACCACAACGAGCGGCGCACATGGTACGGTTCCGCTCCGCTGTTGGTCTTCGGTGCGCGAACGGCTTGCAGAGGTGACGCGCAGCCGCAGCATGCCTATCGTAATTGATCTCACATGGGCAAGTAGCCCCAGATCCACCATTCGTTATCTGAATCCTCCTCTTCATTCCCTCCTCCTTCGATGACATGGGGGTGAGGAATAGATACGCCCCACCTGTCAGACCTTCTCGTCCTGCCTCTCCGCCCTCGATCCCCTCCCTCTTCCCATCTTCCGCTCCCCGCCCCTTTTCTCCTGCCAGCAACCCCCCTTTCTCCGCGTCTTGGATGCCCCGCGCCTCGTTCAGCCTCCTGGCTTCTCTCCGCCATTCCCTCTCCCCTTGTTCCTCCCGCATCGGCACTCGTCAAGCTCGACATCGAGAGCAGCGAGTTCGAGGTGCGCGTGCAGGGGCAGGGGAAAACGGGGTAAGGCGACGATTGGATATCATAATCCAGATGCCTGCGGCACATCCGCCACCGTGCCAGCGAAGCCTTCGGTGCGGCGACCGTTCGAGCTCCTCCTGAAGGACGTCACGTGTGACACGTGCCGTCTCCACTCTCAGGAGGCCAGATTGTCACCGGCTAACATGGGTCACGGTAATGATTGAACACGCATTCTGAAACAAATCATTGAAAAGGCGATGTTGTACTAAATCCCGGATCCTATCATTACCATGTTTTGAGCGGTTCGAGCAGATTGGGAGACGAGACGGACGGAATATGAGGCCGCTTTGAGGCTATCGTAGGTTGTGTTTGTACCATCTTGAGCCGTCTTGGGTTCATGTTGGAAGCCCCTTCTGAGTGGCGAGCACCGCTCAGAAGACAGTCACGTGTGACATTTCTTCTGTGTGGTTGTGCGTCGAGCTCCGCGTAGGAGACCGTAAGATGTGGCAACATTGTTCTCAATGCCGTGATCTGGAATTTCCAGAGGCTTATTGGGAGACGACGGCGAGGAGAAAGAGGTAGAGCAGGGGTTCGTGTTGAGGCCATCAAGGCTTATCTTGATGCCGTCCCGGGTTCTCTCGGCCACCTCCTCTGAGAGGCCATGTTGCGAGCATCGCCGAGAAGCTTGTCACATGCAGCACGTGTTCGGTGTGGCGACATGTCGCATTTCGCCCAGAACACCGTAACGCGCGACACATGTATTCCTTTTGCTTCGATGACTTCCCATCAGCCGTAATTTGGGAGACGGACAGTAGAAGAAGGAGGAGGAAGAGGATGAGTCCAGAAAGAGACGGAGCGGGAGGCCGCCTTGAGGCCATCGTAGTTTGTCGTGATGCCGTTTTGACCCGTCTTGGGCTCTTGGTGGACACTTTGCTGAGCGGCGATTTCCTAGCATCGTTCAGAAGGCCGTCACATGTGACACCTCCTGCCTCCATTCCTTGAGGAGCTCTCATGGGGACTATATATTTGGACGGTGTTTTGTGATACCTTGTGTTGCAGTGTTTTGTGCTGGATCGCCTTTCTTTGTAACTACTGCTACGGTTCTGTGCGGTGGTGGGGCTTAATGCCGCAATGCTATTCGTGTTGTTTCGCTTTGTGTTTTTCCTGGCGTCGTTTCGGTGCGCCTCGTTTGGTGCGTGTGTGCATGCGGTTTGCTCTTGCCTGAATCGCTCTGCGCCGCCTGGCCGTGCCCGAGCGCTGCCTAACATTGCCCCAGCTTGCCCCATCGCTGCGCGTGCCCTGCACCGCGTGGCGCTGCTCCGCCCTCCCGTGCTCCGCTTCCCCCGCCTCGTGCCTGACGCCGGCTCTTCGAAATGGAGCGGGTCGCTCCTGCGCGCGCGCGCGTGCTTGCAGGAGGGACTAAGTCTGGTGGTCTGGGCCGTTTCGTCCGCGACGTCTTCACAACTCTCGTTTGTGAGTTGTCCAGGATTGGGCATTCCGCCTGAGACATCCTCCTCAATCTAAGCTCTGAGATGCTGCGTGCGAGGTGGTCCGGTCCGTTTCGCCTGAGACATCCTCGAAGCTCTGGGGTCATGGCCATGGCAACTCAGGCCAAGAGGAAGCGGCGACGCGGCCGCCGAAAGCTGACCCAGTGCGCCTGAGAAAGCAAGCTATCCCAAGCACAGGCTCGAGATCGTCAGTTTGTGTATTGTTCGAGGCCTCCTAGATGTGGTCGGAGCAGGTGGGGTCGGAGCATCGCGCCGCCTCGCCGACGCATCGGCGATGCGGCTTGATGTGGGGCCTCCAAGCCGGCGTCGCCGATGCATCGCCGACATCGCCGATGCATCTTCGATACATCTTCGATGCATCGGCAATGCGGCTCGATCTTCCGACCCCATCTGCTCGGACCCCATCTGGGAACCCAGACCCCCCCCGTTGGGTTTTTCGCGCAACGTCTACCCCCCGAAGTCTGGACCCCCTCCGCGAGACCGGTTTTTCATCCTGGGTCGTTTTTTGACGGCCCCGAGGCCCAGTAAAGCCCCACGGAGGCCGAAAATTACAAAAAAACTTCCCGTTGTGATTTTTCTCACAACGCGAGGGGGTCTGGGAAGCCTCCAATCCTGGGCATCGCTTGGACGTGTGCGTTTGTGTTCGGCAAGGACCACTCAGCAGCATCGCGCGAAACCGGGAATCGCACGGAGAATGAAAGTCCGAGTGATGGCCCGAATCGTGCCGCTCGGCGCTCGGCGCTCCGCGCCGCGCGGCCCGGCCCTGCCCTGTCATGTCCCCGGGAGGGCGAACGTGGCGAAAGGCTTCCCGTCGTGGCCTGTTCTCTCAACGCGAGGGGCCCTGGGAGGCCTCCCCTCGAGCCGCTCCGCGCTCTGCGCCCCGCACCCCTGCGCGCGGCCCAGCCCGCCCGGGCCCGCGCGGCTCTGCGCCGCTTCGCCGCGGCGCCTCGCCGCGCCCCTGCCGCGGCCCTGCCGCGCGCCCAAGGTGCTGCGTGGGCCGGCCGCGACGGGCTTTTAGCACGGCACTGCCCCTAGCACGCGTCGGGGCTCAGGCAGGCCAGCCACAACTGGGGGAGCTGTGGTCCTTACCCCTCTGGGGGACCCATCGATTTCGACACCCCGCTCGAGAGATCGTCGCGATGGGTCCCCCCATGGGAAAGGACCACAGCTCCCCCAGTTATGGCTGGTCGGTTAAGAGACGGGGTTCCATGTCAGCGGGGGCCAGCCAGAGCGCCAAATCTTGCAGGATCCAGCAGTGCCAGCAGAAGTCTCCAAGGCCTGACTGTCCCGGGCTTACGTTGACCCGAGTCAGTGCGTCCCCGGCCGTTGCAGAAGTTTGTCGCAAACCCCGCTTTCGGGATGGAGGTCTCGCCTCAGCGTGGCGCACCGTCGTTTTAAGAGGTCGCAGCGGTTAGTTAACGAGGAGGGGCGGCTGTTTTTCAGAATGGAGCTCTTTAGCTTTCGCGCAGCGCGCATCCATGGTAAAACAGGGTAGCAAAAGTTACAAGAACAGAACGCGCCTCGGTTTCAAAATGTGGATATCGTTTTAGCGTCGCGCACATTCGTTCCAAATAGTGCAACAGCTACAGGGATGGAGTATGGCTCCTCTTCCAAGGGGGCGATCGCTTGAAACGTCGTGCGATTGCAGGGGGGCGCAACGTTGCGACTGCCGCTTGGGCGGGGGGCAAAGAGGCGAAAGTTCCATTTACAATGGAACTTTCGCTTCGGTGCCCCCTGGATTTCCGCGGGGCCGACAGTTATGAGGGGGGCCCCCGTGCAAAAGCAGGCCCCGCCATGAAAACCCGGCCCGCGGGGCGCCCGTCTGCCGCGGGCCTTTGCTTCGAGGGCGCGCGCCCAGACCTAGAAAGGAATGCTTGCGCGGCTACTGGGAGAAGGGCGGCGAACCGGTCAGCGGGGTCGACCCCGCGAGAGCACCTCGAGAAGTGGGGGGGGCTTGACGGGTTTCTACGAGGGTAGCAGCGACGGCCTTGGAATCAGTCCTGCAGGTGGCGCGAGACCCCATCGCTGGAAAGGCCCAGAAATCCCGCTCGACCCGGCACTGGGATGGACGTTTCAAGCTAACGCCGCAATTACGACAGCTATACCAAACAAACATGAGCGCGAAGCCCAAAGCACCCCGACGTCAGGGCACCAGCACAGCGTGCATCCTGCACCTTTGACTGGGCCGGCCAAGCGCTTCCACGAGGACGGCGCGCAGGCGCGGGGGCAATCGGGTGCGAGACAACGCAACCACTTGACATGTGACAGTTTGACGCCCGACGATAAACGGCGCCGCGTCGACAGACCTACGAGAAATATCCGGCGGACCCGCGCCTCGCTACAACGATCGAAACAAACCAAGTCCACCACGCAGCGCGCAGCATGGAGACTGCGCCGCTGCGTGTCCGAGGGGGCGCCACCCCGACAGCACTTGGACGTCATGCGATATGAGTTTGAAACGGAATGCGGGGGCGTTCGAAAATCAAAGGGCAGCGATGGCCGCCAGCAACTTGCCGTCGACGCGAAACCGCTGCAAAGATTCGGAACGAGCGCCCGCGGCGGGGTGGAGGAGGGGCACGAGGAAAGGACATCGACGTAGGTGGCGAGGATGATGGAGGCGACGCGGAGAGGGGGGGAGCGGGGCGTAAGAAATATGGAGGAGCGGGGGGACAGGGACGAGGAGGAGGGGGAGGAGGAACGGGCATGCCAGACACGCCCTCGCAGGACCGCGGGGACCGCTGGTCCTCCGAAGCGACGGCGCGCGAGGACGGGGGGGCCAGGATTTCCCGCACAACCCTTGCGCGTCGATTTTTCTTGTCCGCCAAAGTGGCTTGCGTCTCCCCGGGGGGCTTCCAAAGTGGCAGCTGTTTTTCCCCACTTGCGGAACGCTACTAGGTAAGCTTTCTTCGCCCGCTACAGGAACGCTACTAGTTATGCTTCTTCGCCCCCCAGAGGAACAGTTCCGGGCGTGTCAAAATGGGGCCGGACTGGTTCCGCCTTTGCGGCCTTGTCGCGAAGACGGGCCGGGGCGCCCCCATGCCCCGCGCCGTTCGACGGCTTGCGCGCCCCCAACTTCTGGCCGTCATAGACGCTGCCCGAAGGCAGAGAAACGCGCAGAGCGATCACCCCCCGCTTCGACACCAGCTACTGCGCCAACTTCCTACGCCCGCGGCGCGTTCAACGCTCTCCCCGATCGCACCCGCGCAGCCCAGCGAGCGCGCCCCCACGAAGCACCCCGGCAGTGCGCGAGTCACCGATCGGGAATTCCCGCGCGCGCGAACTTCGCAAGCATAGAATAAACTGAGAAAGATTCCCGATGAAGTGCCAACGTCTGTAACCAAGTCCCGCGAAACGCGGTTCTGACTTCGCGGCTGCAGGCCCTGGCGGACCTAGCGGCAGCGCTCCGCATCCAGGCGCTACGAATCGGGGCGGCATTGCGCGGTCTGGAGCGCATGCTGATCCGAGCTTGCGAAGCCGATGGCAACTAAGTTCAGGCGATCGCCCG